GTCATTCTCTAATTGCGCATTTTACCTACTATGAATAGTTCTGATACGAAGAAGTGTCACAAAGTTAAACTTTACCCATAAATCTTTGCATCGCTTGCTCTTGCTTTAGCACAAATGCCAAGTTGTAGTAGGATAAATATTCTGAAGATTGATTCATATTGCCACATACACATTTTTTGGAAGATTTATTTTTTTATTAGAAAGGCAGATTTATAGAAAGAAGGAGAGACAGAGGCAGAAAGATCGTCCATCCATTGGTTCACTTTGCAAATGGCCACAATGGATTGAGTTGAGCTGATCCAAAGCCAGGAGCCAGGAGCCTCTTCCAGGTCTCCCAAGGACTTGGGCCATCCTCCGCTGCTTTCCTAGGCAGTAAGTAGGGAGCTGGATGGGACATGAACCAGGACTTGAACAAGCACATGTATCGGGTGCTGGCACTTGCAGACAGAGGATTAGCCAGTGAGCTGTCATGCTAGCCCTGCCACATTTTTAAAAAAAGATTAATTTATTGGAAAGCCAGATATACAGAGAGAAGGAGAGACAGAGAAAGATCTTCCATTCACTGGTGTAGTCCTCAAGTGGTTGCAATGGCCAGAACTGAGCCACCCCAAAGCCAGGAGCTTCTACGGGGTCTCCCGTGAGGGTTCAGGGTCCCAAGGCTTTGGGCCGTCCTCCACTGCTTTCCCAGGCCACAAGCAGGGAGCTGGATGGGAAGTGGAGCAGTCGGGATATGAACTGGTCCTATAAGGTAATGATTTAGCCACCAGTCTATTGCACCAGGTCCTTTATACACATATTTTCTTCTGCTTCTCCTTTCCCTCCTTCCTTTTAAAAAATTCAACATGCATTTATTAATAACAGAATCTGCAGTTACTCACAGATATACAAATACGCCATGTACTTTTACAAATGTGTTGCTATTGTGATAAGCTATAAGCACGAGTTAAAGGAAAGAAAATAAATACAGATTTGTGACATGTGTAGTTAACTGCATGAAGAGTGGCATTTGTAAACTGGGACATAGAAAGAATAAAGGCATGTTAGTTTCTCTGCAATGTCTAGTCATCTGAAGGAGTGGGGCGTTTACAGGAAAAGTGATTTTGGATGGCAAATTAGATGTGGTTTTTCGGTCCATGCTGCCAGCCAAGAATTGCTGTACTATTTGGTGTTGAAATGGCATCCTGTCATGTACCAAGCTGTTGAGAAGATTGTACCAGAAATATCAGATTTATTTCAGTGGTAACCAAAAACCTGAACTTAGAGCAGTTTCAGGATAGGAAAGAGAAATGGAAGAAGAAAAGCACCTTGTTGAGGATGACAGCCACATCTTAACACACCTGCCTCTCGACTTCAGGGGGGAGTAAAAGTTCCTGCTACCTCCCTCCACCAAGTGAGCATCCCACTGCTACTAACCTGCCAACTCGCTGTAATTTAAAATAAGCAGCTTTGGACAGGGAAGGCCAGTGTTTACTACTCACCTGAGCAGAGGTGTAGCAGAGATGAGGGTGATTCGGTTTGCCATGATTTGTTGTGTGCCTTCTTATTCCGGGCACCATGCTACCTGCTTTTTTGTTTAGTGCTGTTGAATGCTACCCTCTTGGGATGCAGGTGTCATTCCCCCCTTGCCCTGTCTTACGGAGTTGTGAGGTGTTTGGGGGCGCACAGGCCAGGTCTCTAGACGTCATGCCACAGGCTCCTTTCTGTATTTTCCACCCTTCATCTGTCAAATGGTGTGGGATAGCTTGGTGATCATGTATGCAGCTGTTATGAAGGAGACTATAAAACATATACAGCTTACCACATTTTAAACTTATTTTTATTGAAAAGGTAGATATATAGAGAGAAGGAGAGACAGAGAGGAAGACCTTCCATCCACCGGTTCACTCCCCGAGTGGCTGCAATGGCCGGAGCTGGGCTGGTCCACAGCCAGGAGCCAGGAGTAGTTCTATCCGGGTCTCCCACGTGGGTGCAGGGTCCCAAGGCTTTGGACCATCATCGACTGCTTTTCCAGGTCACAAGCAGAGAGCTGGATGGGAAGTGGAGCAACCAGGACACGAACCAGCGCCCATATGGAATCCTGGCGGATGAAAGGTGAGGACTTTATTACTAGGTTACTGTGTCAGGCCCACTGAGTTTTTAAAGTTTCTAAATCTTTGGAAAACATTGAACTCTAAGATCAATGTTGCCTCTGAAATTCTGCTTTAGCAGGAGACACCCAGGGCTCCTGCTGCTTGGCCTTGAGCCATAGCTGAGATTACGGGGACGGGGAACCACTTCCTTCTTACCCAGACTGGCTGCCCTGTCTGTGAGGGCCTGGGCGGGAGTGGCTGCATTAGAGTGGTGCTCCTGGGTGAGCATCTGCAGTCCCAGTGCAAACCAGTGGCAGTGCTGAGCTCCAGGGCTTGCACGCGCGTGTGTGCATATGGGGACAAACTTCAGGAGTTATGAGGCTTTAGCATTTTATCTGGGAGAAAGATGTATTTATGTATTTGAATGGCAATTAGAGAGAGAGAGAATGTAAAACAATCTCTTCCACGTACTTGTCCACGCCCCCAAAGGTCTGCGGCAGGCAGAAGCCAGGAGCCTGGGATTCCATCTGGATCTTCCAAGCATTTGAGCCATCTTGCACTGCTTTTCCAGGCACATTAGCAGGGAGCTGGATCAGAAGAGGAGATCTGGGGACCTGAACCTGCGCTTGTATGGGGTGCCAGCCTTGCAGGCCATAGTTTAACCCCGTGTCATAACACCATTTGCACCATTTTATGCTTGCCTGTCTGCATTGTGTGTGATGAAAGCTTTTGCCTCTTTAGAACTGTAACACAGATATTAGTAACGATTTCATGAAGGTTATCTTTCTGTGTCCCCAAAACAAAGTTGGAAACTATGGTTTTTTTTTTTAGAATGATTTATCATTTTTATTTGAAAGGCAGAATTACAGAGAGAGAAGGAGAGACAGAGCAATCTTCCATCCACTCGTTCACTTCCCAAATGGCCACAATGACCAGAACCAGGAGGTCCAAAACCGACGTCCAGGAGTTTCTTTCAGGTCTACTGTGCTGGAGCAGGGTCCCAAGGCTTGCCGCATTTTAAACTTAATTCTCTACTGTCTTCCCAGGCCACAGAGATCTGGATGGGGAGTAGAGCAGCCAGGACATGAAACGGTGCCCGTATGAGATGCCAGGGCTGTAGGCAGAGGCTTAACCTGTTCTGCCATGGTGGCCAACCCCAGCTGTGACATCTTAGACCTTGGCCATGGGTGTGGTCTGCTAATAGCATAGTATGACTGGAGATTGCCATCTTCTCATTCGTTTATAAAGAAGCCTGGACTCAGGCATGTCTAGACCATGCCAGTGTTGTCTGTGGGCTTGGTGGGAGAGGAGGACCTGGCAGTCGGGAGCTGGCTGAGCCTGCGTCCATCCGGCAGCGCCTGCGTCCATCCGGCAGCGCCTGTCAGCATCCCTGTTTCCCAGGCAAGGGTCTCGGTTTGGTTTCCAGGCATTTCCGGGGAGGTGTGTGCCTCCAGGCTGCCATTGCTGTTAGGAGAACTGAATGAGCTCATCTGGAAGCAGGCCTCGGTCAGCGTTATTTGAAAGGAGTGCGCTGAGACGGACATTTGCTCCTAGTACAAGGGGCGTGGGGTGGGAGGGGCGTCACTTGGCCCAGGGTGTGCCAGGCTGCAACCCTGTTCTTAAGTCACCACGGTTTCCACAGCTGCAGCTGACAGCAGCTGTGGCCCTCAGGAACCTGGAATTTTGGTGGGGGAAAGGGGAGGCGGAGGGGGAGCCGAGAGTGCTAGGGAAACACCCGCGACGACAAGGACTTTGAGAGATGAAGGGGAGAGGGAGAACGGAGACACATCCACGGAGGGGGCCTGAGCTGGGGTGGCCTCGGGACGGTGGGCTGGGCACAGGGAGGGAGGGCGGGAAGCTCAGAATAGCAGACATGAAAGAAAGTGCCAGCCAGTGCAAATACTGCACCAGGCTGGCAGGAGGGTGGCGGGGCGAGGACCGGGGCCCGGAGAGAAAAATAACAATTAGTACAGCTAAAAATAAAGACCAATTTGGAGACAAAGCCAGATACACAAAGAGAAAAGTCGCCAAGAAGACGATTCCTTGCAAACCAAATGTTCGAGGAAATGGGGCTAATGACAGCCCTTCTCGGGCTGGTTTGCAGCAAGAAGCAGACAATAGGCACGAACACGAGTGGCGGCGCAGAACAGGTGACACGCAGCCGGCGCGGTGGACCCTTGAGCGACTCAAGCCAAGACCCTGCGGAGGCTGCGCCCACGCGTCCCCAAAGTTAGAGAAGTCCCCCGCGCACCCGCGTTGTCGCTCATCCTCTTGGTGAGAAAATGAGCCAGAGGGGTTTCTGCAAAATTTAGCCCAGGAGCGCCAGGCGGGCGGGAGAAAGCGCCAGGGCTCCGGCCAGGCAGAGGACGCCCACCCGTGGTCACTCGTTTCGGCGCGCGGGCACTGAGACCCGAACCCTCGGCCGTCCACCTGCGTGCGCGGCGTGCATGGTCCCACGCTCGGTGGACCGAGGCTGGCGGGCCAGGAGGCCAAGGCCGCAGGGCAGGCCGCGCACGGACTGCGCAGAATGGCGTGGCCCAGGCGTCCGGATCCGTGATCAGGGGGTGACCGCACCCCGGCCACCCGCCCACGAAGGCGCGCTGGGAGCCACCACGTGCCGAGCGTCCCAGCGCCGTACCCACTTCTCTGGGGCGCGGGAAGAAGGAGGGAGAACGCGGCAGCTGGAAACTGGGCGGACAAGCCCCGCAGCGGGTTACATGGACCTCGGGACACGCACCCAGGGAAACCAAGTCCCGGGGCGTTCGTCTTACTCGGGGCGCGGGGCCGGCTCCTGGCACCCTGGGGTGGGGGCAGGCAGGGCACAAGGAGCGCGCCACGCGGCGCCTCGCGGGGAGGAGGGCGGCGGGGCGGGAGCGGGACGCGCCGGGGCGGCGCTGAGCCGGCTCCTCCTCTTTACCCTCCTCCTCCTCCTCGCCTTCCTCGGGCTCAGAGCCGCGCGCCGCCTGCTCCTCCTTCCTCCCCGGGTGCCCGCGGCGATGTTTAACCGCGCCGTGAGCCGGCTGAGCAGGAAGCGGCCGCCGTCAGGTAAGCGGCTCCCGGGGTCGGCGTGCAGGGAGGGTCGGAGAGCCCCAGCGGGCCCAGGGAGCCCCAGCGGGCTCTGGGAGCCACCCGGGCCGGTGCTGTCCGCGGGGCATCCCTCCCTCCTGGGCTCGGGCGGGGCTGGGCAGTGCGCCCCGACGGGATCCCCTGCCGGCCGCGCCGCTTCTCCTCGCTCGGTCTTGCTCCAGAGCCTGGAGAGGCGCCCGGGGAAGAAGTTTGACTGAAAGACGAACGGTGGCAGTTTCCTTTTGAGTGATGGTTTGGGCGAAGAAGGAGATGCAAACACTCGCAAACTTTGGAGATGGAGCGGGATCCGGATTCCTCAGCGGACAGCTTCCCTGCGCTAGAATCCACCGGGCTGCGGGCGTGGGTGGGACGGATGCCCGCGCGCCAGGAGCAGCCGCAGCTGGAGCCCGGCGTCCTCTGGGCGGCGGCGGCGGCAGCGGCGGGGCGGGCAGGGGCTGAGGTTCTGCACCACCGAGCGGAAATGTGGGACCGCGTGGGTGTCTGAACCCCTAGGTGGCGAAGGCGCGTCTGTGGTTGACGCCAGCCACGTTCTAACTTTGGGAAGGGCTCCTCCGACTGTCACCTGGGACCGGCCTGACCGCAGTTGGGAGCCACTTGAGAGGACAAAAAAAACCCTTGCAGAGATTTCCTCCCCACCGCCACCCCACTCTTAGCCTTTTGCTCTTGATGCTTGCGGTGTCTGGACCAACCTGGGAAAGAAGAGGGACCTGGAGCCGCGGGTGTTGGGTAACTTGTCCTAAGTCAGACCCAGCAGGTGCTGGGGAGCATGTCAGTCCAGTGGCCCTGTGACATCCACCGCAGGATTCACTTCTGGTTGGTGATGCAGGTTCATTTCCTTTTTACTGGGCACATTGCGTTTTAGCAGGGAACTTTGTGGTTAAGAGATGGGAACCTGAGTAGCTGGGGCCCCATCTTACCTGTACCCCTACCCGTGGGAACTTCCCTCTGTGCATCGTGGGGACCAAGATGCAAGATGTTGATGCCCCACAGCAGCCACCCACCCATGGAAGTGCCCCTCAGGGCCTGCCATCAAATGATGCATTCATCTGGTTCATCTGGTGCCTCCCATTTGTGCAGTGTGTAGGATGAGGACAAGCCTAGCAAGGAAGGATGGCCATCGTCCACGGATGTCCAGTGCCTTGCCAGGCTCGTCCTGGTCCTATACACTGCTTGCAGGAGCCAATGGCTAACTATTTGGGAAATTTGAAGACTGCTTGCTATTTGTGAAATGGGTCTCATAAAGTAGTGGAATTGAATACATGGGGATGCCCCTTGTACAAAGCTTGTCCATAATAAATGCATAGTAACCATTAGTAGCTGCCAGGATCGTTAAAGCTGCTCTCAACATCTCTCAGGTTGCTAAATCTCTGGAATCATTTTTGGTTAGAAGATCCTCCAAAACAACTACTGAGTCAAAGGAGTTAATATGGATTTGGGTTCTTTTACCTCTAACCTGTCTGTTCCCCTAGAAAGACTGAGGACAGTTTTAGGGACATCAGTAGAGTTAGCTAATTCAGGGCAACAATTTTGATTTGAGAAGTAGGGAGACAGAAACCTCCATTAACTAGTTTGCTCCCAAATGCCGGCAGTGAACAGGCCTGAGTCAGCCTGAAGCTGAGAGCCCAGGAACTCGGCTTGAGTCTGTCCCCTGGTCCTGGCACAACCTCCTAGGGTGTGCATAAACAGGAAGCTGGACCTGGGACTGGAACCCAGGCATCCCGCTATAGGATGCAGGTGGCTTACCATCTGGGCCGAGTGTCAGCCCTGAGGGCAACAAACCTGGTGACCAGCATCCTGGGCCATGCCGGATAGCTGGGGCCTTGGTTTGCTGGTATTTTTTAGGGTTATGGTATTTTCTCGTTAATGGGACAGGTGGTGAGCCAAGCCGTCACCACACAGAGGCTCAGAGGATGGAGGGGCCACCAAGGAGGCCTTCGGACCCTGCACTAAGTTACCCATTCTGTGGGACCCCTGATTTGAACTTGGCTGCTGCCCTGCCTCTCCTCCTCCCCCCCCCCCCCCCCCCCCCCCCCCCCCGCCCCGCAAACACCTTGTCTTACGGCCTTTCCTGGGATTTGGGCCAAAACTTTACTCAAGACATGACCTTAGCCCAAACCACAGTTTTGAGCCCCTGTTACCCAGCTTTCCACATGGGACCCGCCAATTTGCCTTGCTATTGTTTTCTAAAGTGTGTCCTACCCACCACAGAGGGTGAAGGGGTCTTGATAAATGCAGGTTGCCAGGTCTCAGCCCCAGAACCAACCACTGTAGCTTGGAGATGGGAGGAGGGGCAGGCACGCCAGTTCTTGGGCCACTGAAGCAGACCCCCCTGCAAGGAGTCTGTCTGCTCATCCCACCCCCATGGCTCCTGGCTTTGTTGATAAGCTGCCAGGTTGGGCCGCACCCTGGACCCCTACCCTGCCGCCAGGCCAATGGGTGCCCGTTAGGGGAATCCTCCCCCTGCTAGGCAGGCCACCCAGGCCTGTTGCACATTATCTCATTAAACCCTTGGGAATGGTTTCAGATTTATGGTGGGGCTTAAGTTTTTATTTAGAGCTGACAGTTGGCCTCCCAACTTAATGTCTTTGCTTTCACCAGCAGCCCCAGCCTCAGGGGAGACTTCCCCAGCAGAGCCTTGGTGGCCCAGGCCTGGAGCTGCAGGGACAGCGAGGCGGGGCTGGTCCAGGCACAGGTGTGTGTGGCCGGCCCATGAGCACTGGGGCGAAGGAGCCAGCCCTGGCCCCCAGAGCAGCCGCGTGGTGGCAGGTCGTGTTTGCAGGGTGACTTCTAGCTGCTCTAAGGCCTGCTTCTCTCCCTGGCTGAACATGTGGGGTCCAAGGCAGGTGGCCATTTTCTAGAGTTTCCTGGCTGAACAGAGACTTCCCTCTGCAAGTTGAGTCACGCTCACAGCCCCTGGACGCCGGACTCCGGGAACTTGCTGTTTAAACAACACTAAATTTACCCTCTGGTTGCTTCTGCTTCCCTCAGATAGCTGCTGGCTGCTGCCGCCCAGGGTGGCAGAAGGGGCCCAGACTGGCAGGCGGCTGGCAGGAGTTGTCCCCTGCAGTGAACCTGTCCCCCCAGACTCCAGGGGCACATTCCTCTTCTGGCCACTTCCCCTCTCCTTTGGTCGGGGAGGGAACTCCTGCAAGTGCTGGGTCAAAGTCCGGCCTGCCTTCTTCACGCCCCTCACACTCCCTGGGGAGCTGGACGTCCCCACCTCTGCTTTGCCAGGTGAGGGACAGCCACCGGCCACCACCGAGTGCAGCCTGTCCGAGCGGCAGCCGCCCCCTCCTCTCAGGAGAGCTTGGCAGCTTTTCTAGAGCTGACCACTTTGGAAGGGTAGGGCCTGCCGCACCCAGCATCCCCTCCATGGTCGCCTTGCTGAGATGGCCTCCTGCCAGCTGGAGGGCTGACGGCTGTTCTCTTGCCCACTCTTCCTCTTTCCAGTTAAAAACAAATGAAGCCATTACCAGCCATCTTTATCATTTCCCAAAAGGGCGTTGCAATACCCCAAACAGCAGGAGAGATTGAATCCCAGGTACCTGGCCTGATGCCTAAGAATCTTCTAGAAGCTTTAGACAGCTGGGGGCAGGGACAAGAGGAAGACTGCTCCTCGGGGCTCCTGTGCGTGGCTTTTGAGCGCTGTGCCTGCCTGAGACTATGGATGGTCCCAAACCCCCTGGTACACAATTGGACCTGCCAATAAACAGCAAGATTATGAAAAAGACATGCATAGATCTCGAAAATACACCAAAGTAAGTTTATCTTGTAACTCATTTCCCATCCTCTGACAGGTACCCTCGTGTTCTTCCTGTATAGACACCTGTGCTGAGGTTTAGTTTATAAATTAGGGACAGTGAGAGATTTGCAGCAGCAACTGATGTTTGACACAGAACTACTGTAACATACTGAAGTAAAGTTAGTTAGAAGTATGAATGACTTATTTCTGGAAGTTTCCACTGAATATGTTGGGACTGTGGTTGTCTTGCAGGTAAGTGACGCTGAGACAAACTGATTCTCACTTAGGGGACGACCATAAATACCATTGTCTGTTTAAAAAAGAAAAAAAAAAAAAGAAGCACGCAGCCCAGGTCAGGTATAGTCCACGGACAGCAGAATTGACCAAGACTCAGGTCGCACTCCTCTGTCCCCTTGGGTCAGCTTCTCACCAGCCTGGTCTTCTCAGGTCACTTTCACTGCTGTGAGGAAAGGGTTCCCACCTCCCATTTCTCATCTCTCTCTCTCTCTCAAGATTTACTTATTTATTTGAAAGGCTTACAAAGAGAGAGGAGAAACAGAAAGACCTTCCATCTGTTGGTTCACTCCTCAGATGGCTGCAATGGGCAGAGCTGAGCTGATCCAAAGCCAGGTGCAGGGTTTCAAGCCTTTGGGTCATCCTCCATTTTCTCAGGCACATTAGCTGGGAGCAGGATGTGAACGCTGGCAGCAGAGTGATAGCTTTGACTGCAGCATCACAGCGCTGTTCTCCACCTCCGATTTCTCGCATCTTCCCCTCAGCTTTCCTCTGCAGGGGGGCGGGTCTCAGCTCCTCCCCTTCCAAGCCCGATTTCTTTCAAAGTTGTTTATTTTATTTGTGTTTATTTGAATGGCTGAGCAAGAGGGAGACAAAGAGCTCACTTCTTGCCAGCAGCTGGTTCACCCCCAGCATGACCATAGGACGGGGGGTCGGGCCAGGAGCTCCATCCACGTCTGCCCTGTGAGTGGCAGGGACTCAAGTGCTGGACCCATCACTGCTCCTCCCAGGATTCTAACCCTGGCACTCTGGATAGGATGTGGGCATGTGTGCCACAGAACCTGATCCTCTTATTAGTAGTAACATTACATTATTATTATTATTATTATTAGTCAATTGCTTAACCTTTCTGTGCCTTAGTTTTTTTTTCTGTAAAATGGGGTCAATGATGACCCCACCCCCCGGGGCTGCTGGGAAGCGGAGATGGATCTAGTACATGCACAGTGAACACGAGTGTGACTATCAACTGTTGCCCTTCCTTCCGTGCCCTCGGTTCACCCAGGCCTGGCTTTGCTTGTTCCTTGGGCAAGATTGATCAGGGTAGGACACACGTCAGTGCCAGATGCTGTGCCCAGCCCAAGGTAGGCTCTGCCCTCGCTCTCCAGACATGTCTGGTGCCAAGGCGGCAGGTGGAGGGGGTGGGGAGAGGAGCTGAGAACCAGGCCTCCACAGGGCATGCAGGGTCGCTGGGCCCTGGAGCCTGTCCGTGGTGGGTCTTCATCACCGCCTCTGGGGAAGGCTCTGCCTAGAAAGCCAGGGCTGCAGGTGGCTGCAGACAGCTCGTGGGTGTGCCTGTTTCCTTCCCTCTGGCGGAGGCTGGAGACTGTGGCCATCTGTTGTTTAGTCCAGTCAGAAGAGGATGTTGGGGTTGTTCTGCCTTCGTCCCCGAGGGTGCTCACTAGTACCACGGCTCCCTGAAGGCTGCGGAGTTTGGTCTGTGTGGACCCCAGAGCATGGAACGTAAGGAATGGGTTCCCCACTCCCTGCAGCAGGTGTCCTCAGCTTGCCCGTGGCCTTGGCCTGCTTCTTGGCTCGGGGAGGGGGAAGGGTGGGAGGTTGGAGTGTGCTGGCAGACACGGCGGCGCACAGGTGACCCCTGAGGAGCCGGTGTGGGCGTTTGAATTCCTCTGCAGCCTGGGCCCTCCTGTGAGGATGCCACCATGCCCCTGCCAGCCGTATCACCCGCTTGCGCTGTCTTGTCTTGGACGGGGCTCCCGTTATGGTTATTCCTGTGGTTATCTGCTGACTGTGTTTCCTGCAGCCCTGCCTCGCTGGGAGTTCTTACGAGCTAGGTGCTCAGTGGACACATACTTAAGTCACCTTTCGATTCAGTGTTTCCATGACCCGGACAGCTTTCTACATGTGACCAGGGGTAACCAGTGACTGCTGATTTGAAATTGGGGTAGCTTTTGTTTCTTAATGTAATACTTTTGACATAGGGTGGGTGATGGGAGGTTTTCAGTAAGTCTTGTGTCCTGTATACTTTTCCTTGCAACTTGAACCCCAAGTGGAGTGTCTGAAAGGAGTGTAGTGTGTGGGTGACTGAACCAGTTGCAACAACGTCTCAGCTTTTACCTGGACTTGAATGTTGACTTTGTTTTCTTTGCCATGCTGTGAGTTTGAATGGGAGGGGGCAGGGTGCGGCCCGCTCTGCTCCCTGTCCTCCCAACGCCGTGGTTCCATGCCTGTCTTTGAAACAATGCTGTTCCTGAAGTCAGGCAGCAGGGGTGGACAGTGTGTGCACGTGGCACGTGTGTGCCGGAGGGTCACACCTGTCTCACGTGACTTTGTTTCTCCATGGGACACCCGGTGGCCAGCCTCACCATGGCCGTCCCCTCCGCCCGTGTGGGGGAGCAGGAGAGCAGACATCTGCGTTCCTGCATTCTTGAAGCAGCGGCCTTGGTGTGGATTCTCCTCCTCTAGGGGTGCGTCGCTTGTCTCATCTGGAAGGGGAGAGCGTGTTGGGCACTTTTGTGAGCACTGCGTGATTGAACCCACGCAGAAAGCTCCACACAGTACCCAGTGCATGTGGCAAACACTTTTGCAAGCCTTAGCTCTTCAAGTATTCCCTGATGACAAATTGAATAGGAAGATGAATTTCTTGAAAGCAAATATTGGACATGCAGAAACTGAAAGGTCTAAAATGATGTAAAAGAGCTCAGGCACTTAAAAAAAAAAGATAAAATATCCTTTATTTGTTGCAAATGTGTTTTATAATGGAACGAACTAGCAGGCCCGGGCAGCTAAGCAGGCCAAAGTGGGAGCCAGTGTTATCTGAAGCTGTTCGGGCAGTGGGCTGAGCACTTTGCCTCCATCTTGCATTCCAGCAACATCTGGCGGAATCCTTCTAAATGGACACTTTTACCAGTGGAAAGAGATGGGGGCGGTGCTGAAACTGTGTGGATCCGGGCACCAGGAAGTGGGCAGCTGTGAAATCTTGCGATTGCTTAACTCTTAAGTTCAAAAGCTTGATTGCTTGCTACTAAGAAAGGTCATTGATCTCGCCTATACCAATGGACTGACTGTGGTCTTTAAAACATCCTGAAATGGCTTAGGAATCCCACTCTTGGCTCTTGTAGGGAAGCAGCAGAAGTCTCCTGGGGGGAGAGCCCTGAGTAATGCACGTGGCCTGTTAGGCAAAGGGACAGCCGAGAGCTGGACCAGAGCGAGTGGATCAATCTCGCTGGCAGTTAATGACTTGAAGAAGAGATGCCATTAAGTGAAGGGCCAGTCGAGCTGAGTCTGTACTCCGAGGCCGGCATTTGTCCTAATGGTTATCATTAAGCCCCGGCATTCATACTGCAGTGCCCTGGGGTTCAAGCCCCACCTCTGCCACCTGACTCCCCTGCTTGCTGATGAGGACTGGGAAGGCTGGGTGGTTAGATTCCTGCCTGCGCTGTGGGAGACCTGGGTTGTGTCCTCAGATCCTGCTTTGGGCTCTGTCCAGTCCCGGGATTTGGGGAGTGAACCAGAAGATAAGAACTCTCTCTCTCTTTGCCTCCTGTGTAAATAAATACCTTAAAGAGAGAGAGAGAGATTGCTGGAAATAGGTAGCAGCCACATAGCTAAAAAAATGAAAATTAATCCCATAACACCGTGGACTTAATAGTAACATAGCTATGAGCCCTGGTGTTCTGCTGGGGCTAAAATATTCCATCCATCTCCTCATCCCAGCATCTGGGAAACTACCGGGATTTTGAGATGCACTGGCTGAACTTGGCCTCAAATAAAAAGAAAGCAGAATCCAGAACCCCAGCAGGGCCTGTGCCTCAGCCCTCACGGGTAAGGGACTCTGGCTCACGGATAGCCAGTGGGCCCCCACATTCTTTGGGAATCCATGAGTGTCTCCCCCACAAGGCACACATCAACCTAAAAGTTGGTTGGGACAAGAGATCCTGCAGTGAGGTGCATGTTTCGGGCATTCCAGCAGTGCCTCTGCTCTGGACTAGGGAGCACAGTTTGTCAGCTTCCCCAACAGGCCTGTGCATTAAGAAACACAGAGGCGGGCCCTGTGCGGTAGCTTAGTGACTAAAATCCATGCTTTACATGCGCTGGGATCCCATATGGGCACTGATTCATGCCCCGGATGCTGCACTTCCCATCCAGCTCCTTGCCTGTGACCTGGGAAAGCAGTGGAGGATGGCCCAAGGTCTTGGGACCCCGCACCTGCATGAGATAGCAGAAGAAGCTCCTGGCTCCGGATCGGCTCAGCTCTAGCCTTTACAGCTACTTGGGGAGTGAACTGGAACGAAGGATGTTTCTGTCTTTCCTCTCTGTAAATGTGACTTTGCAATAAAAATAAATAAATCTTTAAAAAGACAAACACAGAGGCACAAGCTTCTGGTTCCTGAAACATGCTCAGGTGCTGCATGTTCCTCTCGCCTTGGGGACAGGGACTTGGCCCCAAGTTGTCAAGCGTGGCCGGAAACTGGATGGTCGTCTTCATAGAAACCCACACAGATCCGGCTGGTGCTGCCACTTGGAGAATGAACCAGGAGTGGAAGCTCTCTCTGTAACTGCCTTTCAAATGAATAAAGAAATTTAAAAATATATATATAGCATTAATGCCAACGATGCAAAGAGTGTGATCGGCCGGAGAGGTTCTGGCTAACTTGTCTAGAGAAGGAGAGGACGGGCTGTTTGTCAGGAGTGTGTGTGAGCCAGTCCGGCCCCTGGGGCTTGGTGTGCTTCCCCTGCCGTGGGATGACCCTGAGTGGGGGGCTAGCTCACGCACACACGCACACGCACACGGATTTTGCCTGGGTCTTAACCGTTGGAGTTGCTCTAGCTGGGTTTAGAACTGAGCCAGCCACAGCGACATTCTGTGATTTTTCCTTGACTTCAAGGAGGGATCAAATTGTGTTGAATGAGGCCTGTCTGTGGCCCCATAAGTGTGAGGTGGAGGTCCCTGACCTTGCCTCTGGGCCTGGAGGCCTGTGAGAGTCAGCCAGTGGGGAGAAGGAGCCAGCGGCACCATCGTGCTGTCCGTCTATGCATTGGCGGGGACAACCTTGGCCAAGACTCTCAGGCATCAAGGGACAGCAAGGATCGGAATGAACGCACACGCCTCCCCGAGGAACTCCACATCAGACGTTTGTAAATTAAGACAGAAAAGGCGACCGTGAGACACTGGGACCCAGACGAAAGGAAAAAGCAGCCAGATCAATTTCGTCTTTATGTAAACTTTGGATATTTGGCTCACTGTGAAATTTTTTTTTGATATCCAGTTGGATTCAAATAAAGTCAGAAAACATGGTTTATCTTGATGCCTGAGTGTTTTGGCAATTTTCTTAAGTCTTATGCCCCAAGTCAAGTCCCAGTCTTGCTCCAGATGAGCTGACAGGGGAAGGGAGATGTGGTGGGCAGCTCAGTCTGGGCTCCCTGGGAGGGGCCGCTGGGCCCCGTGTGGGGGCTGCCTGTGCGGTGACCAGTGGGGGATGTGCATGTTGGTGCATGGCAAGTCTTCACCCCGCCCCCACCCTCAGCCTTTCTGTGAAGAGCAGGGACTCCTATAATGTGCCCTGTTGCCAGGCGCCTGGAGTATGACTTGTATATGTAACTTGACATGTGTCAGCTGTGTGGTGCTGGTGGTGGGGGATGGCCACAGGCACATGCTGGCCTGTGCCGGGGTCTGTGTGTTAGCCGTGCAGTGCTGTACACGTGACAGTATCTGCAGGCTGTGATGTGGTCTGTGCTGTGCCTTGCAGACCTCCATGACAGCGACAGCAGCTCCAGCAGCAGCCACCAGACCCTCAGGAGCACGGCCAGATGGGCAGCATCCTTGGAGAATCTGCTGGAAGACCCAGAAGGCGTCAAAAGATTTAGGGTTTGCCTTTTTCACTGTTCATCAGGGTTGATGCGGGGTCTACTGAAGGCTGCCTGTATGGAGGGCGGGGAGCAGGGGACAGGCCAGTCCTAAACTCTGCCTGTCCTGGCTTCAGGGTAAGAAGGTGTTAGTGTGACCACATGGGCAACGCTGGCGCAGATGGCGTTAAGGGCACTTACAGTCCACTCCTGGTTTTGTGTAGTCGGGGGCAGAGGGGTGGGGAGACCAGGAACATGTCGTTGCTGGGGTCTGTAGGGAGGGTTTCCAGCTGTGTGACCCCTGGAGGAGGCGGGGAGTGGGAAGTCTCAGGATGCAGGGTCGATGGAGTGTAAGAGTCGGGCAGCACGGACATGGCGAGGACTCAGCAAGGAGGAGGTGGGAGGGGGGTCAGTGTCCCATGGAAGTCCCTTTCTCGGCCACCCTCAGGGATAAGGTGGAAGGCCACGTGTGAGTTTTGAGAGTGTGTTCCAGCAACTTCTATGGTTAGGTCATGAGTCAGACAGGAGGAGCCCTCATGCTGCCAGGCTCCTGTGCCAGGGCCCCAGTTCCCAGTGGCCACTAAGCCACTGTGAGCCTCACACGACTTCAGGGAGGCCTGTGCACTGAGGAGTGACTCGCTGTGCCACAAACCCTTCAGTTGCGGCCAAATGGAAACACACCTTCAACTCAGAATAGTTTTCTTCCTGGCATTTGTAGACAAGCCTGATGTGTTTTTCCCCCTCCTTTTGTTTAAAAAAAAAATGGGCTTGATTTTAGAGGAATGCACTTTGTTTAAACACTGTCTGGAAAGAACTAATGTATCTCCCATTTTAATTTACTTTTTTGGTAATTTATTGTCAGCTAAGCAATGTGAGTAGATTCCAAACTCATTTTTATTCTTCCTTACTACGTCAAAGCAGTTAAGGTCAAATGCATATGAAATCTTAGCTTGTCCATTCAACATACTCTTCGTTTCTCAGGGTGGAGATCTTTATCGTTCCAATTTTAGTATATGTGCTGCCGAAGCCAGCACAGGGGCGATTGGACCATGCTCAGCTGGTGAATTTTGCTCACTCGGTGATCATAGGGACATGCCTTATTATTTCTTAAAAGGAGACTCATTGAATGATTGGTTTTTGTCTTTATTCATAGGAATTTTTAAAAAAGGAATTCAGCGAAGAGAATGTTTTGTTTTGGCTGGCGTGTGAAGAGTTTAAGAAGATGCAAGATAAGAAGCAGGTACCCCCTTTGCTGGCCCATCACTGTCTTCCCCCTGTGGTTATGAAGTCGCAACTGCCTTTTCAGTAGACCTGGAAATTTTATCTAAGGAAACTTGATTCCAATTAGATTGGAGGGAAAAGTTCAGTTTCAGATCGGGTTTGTCATGTTGATCAAATATTAATAATTCAAAAAGGAGTGAGTGAAGCTGTTTTTAAAGGAAGCTATCCAAGTGGATCAAGGTTTAAAGTTGAAACAACTGCTTATGTTATTTGGAGATCTGCCCCGTTGGCAACTCTGGATGCAGCTGTGTCGTGACAGAAGCACTGTATGCATCTTATAGGTTTGCCTGCCCATGCACCTGCCCAGAGCCTCCATCCAGGCACCTGCCCAGAGCCTCCATCCAGGCACCTGCCCAGAGTCTCCTGTGCAGAAAGCTGCTGAATGTTCTTCAGGGTAGGGAGTGCTGTGTTCAGAGCAGCTTCTCATCCCCATTAGTTGAGTGTTCTGCCACTGACGGTTGGAGGCAAGCAGGTGGATGAGGTTATGAGGAAGAAGGCTGCTCATTGGGTGGTGGGTCTCTAGGGCCTGTGTCCACGTATTCCTAAGAGGCTGCCTGCCAGGCAGAAAATGATGTGAATGAGTGGAGCTGCAGGCAGTGGTGGGGTGGTGGAACTTTTTTTTTTTTTTTAATTTGCAACCTTGCCAGCCAAACAAAACACAGCCTTAGCCAGATGTGGCTTGTGAGCAGCCAGCTTTCGAGCCTTTGCCTGCAAAAGCTGAAGTCATGGGGCTGGCAGGTCTGCAGGCAACAGGTGGGAATATGTAATTCACTGGGCAGGTCTAAAGGAGGGAGGGGTATGACCCCTCCTGCTCCTTCCTTCATCTGCAGGTGCAAGGACAGATTCTAAGAGGGGCTTGCTCTAGTTTGGATTTTAGGTGTTTTAAAAGCCCTCTCTGGGTAGGACCCTTGGCCTTTGCCTCCTTCTAGCCTCCTCCTTCCCTAGGATGTCTTTGGTTGAGGCCTCCTGGGCAGTGAAGGCCTCTGAGGAAGTAAGAGCAGGTAGAAGGACCTACTGGGAAAGTGAGGACCCCTGGTTCTCCTGTGTCTCAGCAACTAGGACAAGGCAATGGTGTGCACCTGCTGCGACCAGCTCAGAGTTGAGCAAGTGAGCAGGATAGGCCAGGCCTCCCATGCTGGGTAGATGAGGAAGTTGCTGTCTGCCCCTCACATGACACAGAACTGGGACTTGAACCAGGACCCTGAGGTCACCCTGGGCACCTTTTGTCCACCTGCTGCTGTGTGTCGTGGTTCAGCGGAAGCCATCCAACCCTCATGGAGTGCCCACTGGGCCCCAGGTGCTGTGCCAAGACCAGGGATGAGCCAGATGAGCAACTTGGGAGAAGGGAGGAAGGCTTTGCAGGTTCTGTGAGTCTAGAGCTGGGTCAGTGAGGGCATGGACTTTGAGTCAGTAGGGAGACCCTCTGGAGGAGTAACTTGTAAATGGGATCTGAAGTTGGGGGTGCGGAGCAGTCTTCCCTTGGTAAGAAGGACAGATGAGGGGAGGGAAGCTGTCATGGTGTATTTGAGGCTGGGGAACCTTGGGGAACTTTGCATGCTAGCCCGGGAAAGCTGCTGAAAGACCAAAATCCTATAGACAGAGCTTGCTTAAGTACATAGCCTTCCCCCAGAGCCCCCTATGAGACAGGTGGGCGGGTTATGCGGAGGCAACACCCAGCTGGGGATCCCTGGGGCAGCTGCTCCTTACCCGAGGCTCGTTACAGGCAGGGCAGTTCTCTCTGGCTCCAGGCCTGGGCATTCTGTCTTGTGGGGAGTACAGCCTGGGTCTGAGCGCTCAGCCTGTGAGCACTGGAGAAGGCTGCAGGCGCTTGAAGCACTGGCCTAACGGAATTTTACAATCAAACTTAGCACATCTTGCTGGGCAGGGCATCTGTGGTGGGGTTTCTCTCTGTCCTGGGTCAGCTGGGGCCGTTGTGTGGTCGATGCATATCTGTTGCCCTGTGCTGTGACCTTGGTCAGGGCCATGGACTTGAGACATGAGTAGGCTTTCTATCCATCTGGGGCTTTGTTCCCAGAGACCCTGTGTCCTGGTGTCTTCCCATCTCTTAATATAGAAGGAGCTTAACACGGGGCGTCCACGGGGACAGTGACACCTCCTGTGCCCTCTGTGGGGTTTGTGGTTGTCGTGCCTTCCTGGACTCCGTATTCAGCAGTCAACTTTATTTTTCTCTTTCTTTTTTTAGTTTAAGGTTTATTTATTTTTATTGGAAAGTCAGGTTTACAGAGAAGGAGACACAGAGAAAGATCTTCTATCTGCTGGTTCATTCCCCAAATGGCTACAAAGGCCATCTGATCTGACCCAAAGTCAAGAGCCAGGCTTCTCTTCCAGCTCTCCCCCGCAGGTGCAGGGTCCTAAGGCTTTGGGCCATCCTCTATTGCTTTCCCAGGATACAAGCAGGGAGCTGGATGGGAAGTGGAACAGCTGGGACACGAACTGGCGTGCTCTGTGATTCCAGCATGTGCAAGTGAGGATTTAGCTACTGAGCTGCGGTGCCAGGACCCAGCAGCCAACCTTTAAAACAGTTCTTTTCCTTCTCACTTTCCTTGCAGTTTAAGATTTTTCTCGGGCCCAGTGTGATAGCCTAGCGGCTGGAGTCCTCACATTGCATGCACTGGGATCCCCAACTGGGTGCCGGTTGTAATTCCAGCTGCCCCGCTTCTTACTCAGGCACCTTTGGGTTTGGGGTTGCTTGCCAGCCTCAGCACCACACTGGTTCTGACGCATGGCCTGTGATGTGCGTGCGGCTAAGTCCAGCTCAGACCTGGGGGACTCAGCTGCCTGTTGTGGTGTTTGTGGGCCTGGCTCTACACTGCCCACGGCGGCAGCTGTTCCCTGGGCTATGCGTGAGGACTGGCGAGGGTGGGTATAGTCCCTTGATGCCTTAGGAAAGCACCAGTGAGATGTCTTCCTTTTCAAAAGCGGGAAATGAAACCCAGTGGATGCTTTCTTCTTGGGAGGTTCCTGGATTCCTTTAAGCTTGACAGTTCTCAAAATGTTCCTTAGGTTCAGCCCCCTAGAACCTTCTGAAGCAAGGAATGTGGATCTTAAATGATCAAGGTAAGAGCGGTGCCAGTGGTAACAGTGGCTGTTGTCTATGCCTGTTTTGTCCCAGGCACTGCTCCAAGAGTTTTTATATGGGTAATCTTATGTAATCCTCAGTAGCCCTGCAGGGCAGGTGGCATTATTATACCCATCTTAGAGGTGGAAAAGCTGAGGTTCAGGTTAAAGTGAACACACGGAGAATTGATGTCTTGTCTCTAACTGCTTTGGCTGCCTCTCCTGGTCTTTAACATGTGTTTCTGGATAAAAGGTATAGACCACTCTGGTTCCTCCATCACACTTAGGAGGCATCTCTTAACTGTCTACTTTGTTTTCCTCATATATCTATATAAAGATTTATTTAGCCATTTTAAAGACAGAGTTACATGTCACGCCCACGCTCCTATCGACCCGCAATAAGAGGCAGACGCGAGTGAAGTCTTCCGCGGTAGTCTTTATTGTGCACACCAAGATGATGAAGAGGAAGGCCCCGACCCAGCTCGTGCTCTCGCTCTTATCGGGGATGGCTCCGCCCAAGTGGCGGCTTATTGGTGAGCCTCTAGACCACGCGCCAATCCTGCAGTTTGGATAGGGCAAGAGGCCTGTGCACGCGCTGATCACGCCGCTGTTCACGCGTCAGCCCTCAGCGCATGTGCAAGCGCCTGCGCAATACTCTCTAATGTACGTGACAGGAGCTACTCCTGCTGACGTGTTTATTTCCGCCAGGCGCCATCTTTAGGCCACCGCGTGTGGCAATCAACATCACCTCGTGTGGCAATCAACATCTCCCCCTTTCTTCTTTACAAAAAAAGCCTGTCTTAGGTTGTGGCTTGGGATACTCTTTACCCGTCTAGGGAGATCATTGTCAGATACCAATGGCCTCCTGTCTTAGGTGGAGACATCCTAGCCATCTTACCCGTCATTGGCAGCAGTTTGTAGAGAAAGTTGGCAAAGGTCAAGCTGCTGACATGGGTCACCCTTCCGCGTGCAATGGGCAATCCCAGCGGAGTGCAAGGGCTGACCCTGAATGAATAAGGGTTGTGTGCACACCCAACTCGGTGCAATGCCGTGACGGCTCGAGGTGCTAGGGCTGTGCATTGGATCTTATTCATTATTGAGCATGGTTAACCAAGCCTGGGGGAGGCACCCTCTTGAAGGGCTAGAAGGGCCTGGCGGATAATCACACGATCTTGAGCAGCCCTCTGTCTTATGCGATAGAGGCAAAAAAGGGCAAGCGCCAACCCGCCGCATAAGAGCGAGAGCAAGACCCCCACTCCCGCCCATTCCTTTATAGAGGCCGCAGCGGTTTTGATCCAGTCTGTCATGGAGTGTGCTATTGAAGGATCGACTCTGGTGGAATTAATCTGCACGATCGCGATCCTTAGATCTTGTTGAAGCTCGTCGAACTCTTTGGTCCAATTTCCTAAAAGATAACTAGACAGTTGTCTGGACAAATTAGCAGCATGTGAGCCATTAACAAAAGGAACCGATGTCACACATAGGCCAGGAAGACGCCATTGACAGCCTAATTGTGCTACTTCCCACAGGGTGTCGACCTGGTCCTGAACCAGATCGACTCTCTGATTCAAGACCATCAGGCCCCCTTTTAGGTGGCTATTAATGTGGGCCTGATTTTGTAAGGCTTGGGCTGTAGCAGCAGAAATGTTATTTAAGGCAGTGGCCGTCTGTACAGTGGTGGAAAGGGCCACGGCCGCCGTAGCGGAGGCTGCAAGAGCTACGGTAATAGCGGCTATCAGAGCGGCCGTTATCCCAAAATCCCTCTTCTGGCGATATAGGGTCAGAGCAGTGGGGGTGTCCACGGGCCAGGGAAGCCATCTCGGGATGTGCATCACAACAGCTCCATCCCAGTCATCAGTGGCATTCCAGCATTGTGCCAAT